ATGCCTTTTAAAATTACCAGAGAGCGGAGACCCCTGCGAGCAGCCTGCCCTGGCTGCCCCCTCCTCCCTGGCAGCCGCCCCGGGGTGGCAGCACCCATGTGCCCGCGGGGAGCTGGGTGCCATCCGCCCCCCTTGTGTGAGAGGCGCCAGGCTGGGCTTGATTAAAACCCGAGTGAAGGCAGAGCCAGGGCAGAGAGGGGGATTAGATGGCTCCGGGGAATGTTAATGGACTCCAGAGCTCTCTGCCCGGCTGGCGGCTGGGATGGATCCAGCCCTGCATGGACAGGCGGGTGCAGGACCCTGGGGCGCACCGAGGGTGGCGGGGGACAGGCACACGGGGCTGGGAAGTCCTTTCCGAGGGCCTGGCCGCTCCCCTGGGAAAAGCAGGGGTGGGCTGGTGCTCCAGCTGGGCTCTGCCACCCCCGCTGCCACCGCAGGGGCCGGGCTGGGGCACAGGAGCGCTGCCCATGGCACCGCCATGCCCCGGGCCGGGGGGTGACACCGGCCCTGGGGGGCTGCAGGGGGCTCCAGGGGGGCTTCAGAGGGTTCCAGGGGGCTCCAGGGGGTTCCAGGGGGCTCCAGAGGGTTCCAGGGGGTTCCAGGGGGGCTGCAGGGGGTTCCAGGGGGCTCCAGAGGGTTCCAGGGTGGCTGCAGGGGGCTGCAGGGGGGCTGCAGGGGGTTCCAGGGGGTTCCAGGGGCTTCCCGGGGGGCTCCAGGGGGCTGCAGGGGGTTCCAGGGGGTTCCAGGGGCTTCCAGGGGGCTGCAGGGGGCTGCAGGGGGTTCCAGGGGGCTGCAGGGGGCTGCAGGGGGGTTCCAGGGGGGCTGCAGGGGGCTGCAGGGGGGCTGCAGGGGGCTGCAGTGGGCTGCAGGAAGTTCCAGGGGCTTCCAGGGGGCTCCAGGGGGATCTAGGGGGCTGCAGGGGGCTCCAGGGAGTTCCAGGGGGGCTGCAGGGGGCTCCAGGGGGCTGCAGGGAGTTCCAGAGGGTTCCAGGGGGCTGCAGGGTGCTGCAGGGGGTTCCAGGGGGTTCCAGGGGTCTCCAGGGGGCTCCAGGGCCCTCGGCCGGGCGCTGGTGCCGGGCAGGGCCGGGCCGGGGCAGAGGTGCCGCGGCTGGGGCCGCTCCCCGCCCGGCTCCGCTGGATTGCGGGTCTGACGTGGGAAATCGCCTCCCTCCCTCGTTAGCTGTGATTAGCATGTCAAGTGCTTGAAGTTGGTGGGTATAAAGGATGCGAGCGAAGAATAATGGCTTCAATTTTCTTCACGGCACAGCCATTAATTTGAAGGAGAAGGGGGTGTCCAAATCTGCCGGCAGCTCCAGCCCCGCGGGGCGAGGGCGGCTCCTGCTGCTGCCCTGCCTGGCGTGGGGGACACCGAGAGCCTGGCACGGGCACCGAGCCTGGCACCGGCACCGGCACCGGGATCCCATCCCGGGCGCGTCCCGGTGGGATGTGCAACACGTGTGTGCCCGGTCCCACCGCCCCGGATCAGTTCCCCCCCTCCAGCCCCAGGGATGGACCCGGGGCAGGGGGAATTCCTGCCGTGTTTCCCAGGGGATGGGAAGAGTGGGAATGGAGGCAGAGCTGCCTTTGCACAGCCCTCGGGGCGTCCTGACATCCTTTTCCGCACGGATGGAGTGCCCGGTGCTCTGCTCCGTGCTGGAGCCTGGACCCCTCCGCCTCCCTCATCCCGCGGTCCTGCAGCATCCCCGGCCTCAAGCTGCAGCGTCCTGAGAGGCCAGAACCCTCCTCCCAGCAGAGCTGCTTAATTAAAACCATCATTTCCATCCCGAGGCACAGCCAGGCACCGGGACCTGCCCGCCCCGCATCCCTGCAGCCACCCGGCCGTGCTGCACTCACCCTGGGTGCTCCCAAAACCTTACAAACAGCCATGCTAAATAAATAAAAACATAGCAAAGCAATCATTCCCCCCAAATGTTGAGCTTTTTCCTCCTTTCCCCCAGCAAACCCGGGCGCTGCTGGGCTGTGCTGATCAATCCCCAACCATCAGCCCATCACAAGGCTTTTCAGGCTCCAGACTGGCTCATGCTGCTTGAGAGATATAATTGAGGCTTTAAAAAAAGACAGAAAATAATAAAATAAGTGAAATCCAGCTGTGGTCCAAGCAGCCGGTCATACCCAGCGAGACTCTGGTGTTCCAGGTGATGATTCCTGGCGGGATTTACCTCCTGGGGGGGGAATTTTATCATTTTTCAGTGCTGCTTGTTGTGACCTGAAATGGGAGAGAGGAAAAACGGGGTGGGAAGGAGTAAATTTGATGCTCGTGGGAAGCATCATGTTGGAGCCAAGCTGGGAATGAAGGACCATGGACTCCCAAAAAACCTGCCAGGACGGGTCAGGGAGGAGCCAGAGGGGGCTCAGCACCCTGGGATGGGTGCTGGATGCAGGCACAGCACCCAGGGGTGGCTGGGCCCCCCTCCACCCGCCAGGGTGGGAGCCCAACATCGGGGGGCACCCCATGTGTCCCCCCAGCCCTGTCACTGTGAGGACGGTGGGAAGGAGGGGCAGCAACCCTCCCCAGCAGCCCCCCCCGGCAAAGAGGGGGTCCCTCAGCATCCCCCACCCCCTTCAGCACCTCTGGCTGTGGTGGCGCTGGCAACCCCGACAGCCCCACTGCCCCATCCAGCAGCAGGCGCTGGGGGCCGCTCCCCACAGCACCCCAAAACCCAAACCCCCCACCCCCCCCAAACCCCCCAAACCCCCAAACCCCCAAACCCCCCAAAGCCCCCAAACCCCCAAACCCTCCAAACCCCCAAACCCCCCAAACCCCCCACAGCACCCCAAACCCCCAAACCCCCCACAGCACCCCAACCCCCCAAACCCCCCAAACCCCCAACGCCCCCAAACCCCCAAACCCCCAAACCCCCACAGCACCCCAAACCCCCCAAACCCCAAACCCCAACCCCCAAACCCCCAAACCCAACCCCCCAAAAACCCCCAAACCCCAAACCCCCAAAACCCACAAACCCCCAAACCCCCAAACCCCAAAACCCCAAAAAACCCCAAACCCCCAAACCCCCACACCCCAAAAACCCCAAAAACCCCAACCCCCAAACCCCCAAAACCCCCAAACCCCAAAAACCCCCCAACCCCCAAACCCCAAAAACCCCCAAACCCCCAAACCCCCAAACCCCCCAAACCCCCCAAACCCCCCCAAACCCCCCAAACCCCCAACCCCCCAATCCCCCAAACCCCCAAACCCCCCACAGCACCCCAAACCCCCAAACCCCCAAACCCCTCACAGCACCCCCCCAAACCCCCAACCCCCCCACAGCACCCCAAACCCCCAAACCCCCAATCCCCCAAACCCCCAAACCCCCCACAGCACCCCCAAACCCCAAACCCCCAAACCCTCCACAGCACCCCAAACCCCCCAACCCCCCAACCCCCAAACCCCCCAACCCCCAAACCCCCAACCCCCCAACCCCCCAAACCCCCAAACCCCCAAAACCCCCAAACCCCCAAACCCCAAACCCCCAAACCCCCAAACCCCCAAAACCCCCAAACCCCCAAACCCCCAAACTCCCAAACCCCCCAAACCCCCAAACCCCCAAACCCCCAAACTCCCCAAACCCCCAAACCCCCAAACCCCCAAACCCCCCAAACTCCCCAAACCCCAAACCCCCAAACCCCCCAAACCCCCAAACCCCCAAACCTCCAAACCCCAAACCCTCCAAACCCCAAACCCTCCAAACCCCCCAAACCCCAAACCCCCCAAACCCCCAAGCCCCCAGTACCCCAAAACCCTAAACCCCCCAAACCCCCCAAACCCCCAAACCCCCCACAGCACCCAAACCCCCAAACCCCCAAACCCCCAAACCCCCAAACCCCCCACAGCAACCCAAACCCCAAACCCCCAAACCCCCAAACCCCCAAACCCCCCAAAGCCCCCAAACCCCCCAAACCCCCAAACCCCCAAACCCCAAACCCCCCACAGCACCCCAAACCCCCAAACCCCCCAACCCCAAACTCCCAAAGCCCCGAAACCCCCAAACCCCCAAACCCCCAAAACCCCCAAACCCCCAAACCCCCAAACCCCCAAACCCCCAAACCCCCAAACCCTCCACAGCACCCCAAACCCCCCAAAGCCCCCACAGCACCGCAAACCCCCCAAACCCCCCAAACCCCCAAACCCCCCACAGCACCCCAACCCCCCAAACCCCCCAAACCCCCAAACCCCCAAACACCCCAAACCCCCAAATCCCCAAACCCCCAAAACCCCCAAACGCCCAAACCCAAATACCCAAAAACCCCCAACCCCCAAACCCCCCAAACACTCAAACCCCCCACAGCACCCCAAACCCCCAAACCCCCAAACCCCCACAGCACCCCAAACCCCCCAAACCCCCCCAACCCCCCAAACCCCCAAACCCCAACCCCCAAACCCCCAATCCCCAAAACCCAAACCCCCAAACCCCAACCCCCCAAACCCCCCAAACCCCCAAATCCCCCAACCCCCAAACCCCAAACCCCCCACAGCACCCCAAACCCCCCACAGCACCCCAAACCCCCAAACCCCCAAACCCCCCACAGCACCCCAAACCCCCAAGGCCCCCAAAGACCCAAACCTCCCAAACCCCCAAACCCCCCAAACCCCCCAAACCCGTGTGCTGCAGCCCCCACAGGCAGCTGTGCCCCCCACCCGACCCCCCACTCCTCGCCCAGAGGACGCTGCCGCCTTCTTCTTCCCAGGCTGGACGTTTTTTATCGCTTTTCTCCTTCTTTTCCTCCTTTCTTTGCTCCTTCCCGGCGTGTCCATCCATCCCCGGGCAGCGCCTGCATCCCTGTGTCCCCACCGTGTCCCTGGCACTGTCCCCGTGCCCGCAGTGCCACCCACCCGGGGCTGGCACCGCACCCCGATTGTACCAAAATTCCGCTTTTTCGGGGCAGCCCCGCCGCATTTGGCACGCCCCCCAAAATCCAGGGAGGGTCAGCACCCCTCTGACCCCCCCCAAAAACGAGAAGCAAGAAAGCAGCGGGCATCGCTCAATATATAGGTTTCTTTTTAATATAAAAAAAGTGCCTATTAAAAATTCCTTCCTAAATAACACAAAAAGACCGTTTGAGGGGCAAAGCGGGGCCGGGGGGGCTCAGGGGGCCCCTCTGGCCAGGGCAGCACAAGCACTGCACAGGGCAGCGGGGGGGCGGGGGAAGGAGGGGGGATTTTGACCAAATTTCGGTAGTTTCCTCCTTTTTTTTTATCATTTTTTTGTGAATTTTGCTTTTTTTATCCATTTCAGGGTGGTTTTCATCTCTTTGTGTGTGTGTGTGTGTGTGTTTTTTCTCTTTTTTTGCACAACCCACAAAGCTGTACAGAGATTGCCAAACTCTTGAGGAGGAGGGGGGGACACACAGGGGATTTGTGGGAGGAGAGGACCCCAAAACCCACCTGGCACCCACACACGCACCCACACCCTGAGCTTGTCACCGCCACCGCCTCGGGGACCCTGGGACAGGGACCCCCCTTTTCCCCAGCCCCCCCACTCCCTCCCCACCAAGAGGGTCTGTGATTGATTTATTTCTTATTTTTTTAAACTTTTTTTTTTTTAAAGTTTTTGTCTTCTTTTTTTTTTTTTTTTTTTTTAAACTCCTTTTTGTTTTTATACAAATTTGGATCTTTGGGTGTGTACTGCCAAAAAAAAAAAACCAACCAAAAAACCCAACAAAAAATCAAAAACCCGCCTTCGTTCTTCAGAATAATAATAAAAATAAAACTCAAATCATCATTGAATCATTAAAAAAAAGGCAACGGAAACCCAAGGAACCCATGCGGAAGTTGCACACCACAAAACCACAGCAGATGTACAGAATGCAATATACAAGACACGATTTATAATAAAACATTATATACAATAAATAGGTTATTGTTACTTTTTTCTTTTTTTTCTTTTTTTTTTTTTTGTTGCTCGATCTGTAAATAAATTTTTTCTCAGTGCATACTGGGGGGGGTTTTGCTCTTTTCTGCTGCATATTCACCTCTTGGATGCTTTAGGCCTGTTCTCTGTCATTTTTGGATTCTCCCTCCGGTGCATGATTCTCTATTTTTTTTTTTTTTTGGTGATTTTTCAGCTTTTTAAATTTTTTTTTTTTTTTTATCCTTAAACATTTTTTTTTTTAACTTCTTTTCTTCAAAAGTATTTACAATTGCTGGTTTTGTGCAGAAAATGAAAATTAATCAAATAAAAAATAAAACTTAAAGAGTCCCTCTGCTTCTGGCTGGGAGGAGAGACAGAACGCGGCGCCGGCGCCACGGCCGAGGCGGGGGCCGGGGGCGAAGCGGGGCGGCGGGGTGGGGTCCCCAACGGAGGTGGCCCCCTCCTCTCCTCTTCTCTTCTCTTTTCCTCTCCTCTCCTCTCCGCTCCGGCGGCCGGGACGGGCGGGGGGCGCAGGGCTGGGGGTGCTGTGGCTGGGGGGAGAGGAAGAGAGGAGTGAGGGTCCCACCCTGGGGTGCCTGCCCACCCCCACCCAGCACCCACAGACCCGGGGCCCGGCACCCACAGCTGGGTCTGGGGTCCTGTTCCCCCCACTGTGGCACCCAGAGCTGGGTCTGGGGTCCTGTTCCCCCCACTGTGGCACCCAGAGCTGGGTCTGGGGTCCTGTTCCCCCCACTGTGGCACCCAGAGCTGGGTCTGGGGTCCTGCTCCCCCCCACTGTGGCACCCACACCTGGGTCTGGGGTCCTGTTCCCCCCACTGTGGCACCCACACCTGGGTCTGGGGTCCTGTCCCTCACACTGTGGCACCCACAGCTGGGTCTGGGGTCCTGTTCCCCCCACTGTGGCACCCACACCTGGGTCTGGGGTCCTGTTCCCCACCCACAGCTGGGTCTGGGGTCCTGTTCCCCACCCACAGCTGGGTCTGGGGTCCTGTTCCCTACACACCTGGGTCTGGGGTCCTGTTCCCCCCACTGTGGCACCCACAGCTGGGTCTGGGGTCCTGTTCCCCACACACCTGGGTCTGGGGTCCTGTTCCCCACACACCTGGGTCTGGGGTCCTGTTCCCCCCACTGTGGCACCCACACCTGGGTCTGGGGTCCTGTCCCCCCACTGTGGCCCCCACAGCTGGGTCTGGGGTCCTGTTCCCCACACACCTGGGTCTGGGGTCCTGTTCCCCCCACTGTGGCACCCAAAGCTGGGTCTGGGGTCCTGTTCCCCACACACCTGGGTCTGGGGTCCTGTTCCCCACCCACACCTGGGTCTGGGGTCCTGTTCCCCCCACTGTGGCACCCACAGCTGGGTCTGGGGTCCTGTCCCCCCACTGTGGCACCCACACCTGGGTCTGGGGTCCTGTTCCCCACACTGTGGCACCCAAAGCTGGGTTTGGGGTCCTGTCCCTCCCATTGTGGCACCCACAGCTGGGTCTGGGGTCCTGTCCCTCACACTGTGGCACCCACAGCTGGGTCTGGGGTCCTGCTCCCCCCAAGGCTCAGGGGTCTGGGGTCCTGCTCCCCCCAGGCTGGTCCCAGGGAGTCTGGGGTCCTTCCCACCCAACCCTGCAGGCTGAGTCCTGCTCATCCCTGTCTCACCCCCACACCGGGGCTCTGGGTCCTGCCCCCCATCTGGCACCCCGCACCCCCCAGCTCCGCACCCCCGGGCCCCGCAGCCCCCCGCCACCCCCACACCCCGAGGGTGGGCGCAGCTGGGTCAGAGCACCCACCCGAGCACGGGGCACCCAGCCCACGCTGCGGGGTGGGGACACAGGTGGCCCTTACCTGGTGGCGGTGGCGTCTCCGAGCCCCGCTGGCGACGCTGCCGGGCCGGGGGGGTCAGGGCTTCACCCCCACCCAGCGCTGTCCCTGCGGCCGGAGCAGCGGCGGACGGGAGCGACGAGAAAAGAAAAGAATCCCCAAACAGCCTCCCCAGGGGTCCCCGGCCGGGCTGGGGGCAGGGGGCACCCGGCGCTGACCCCCAGATCCCCCCCTGCCCTCCCTGCGCCGGGCTTGCTCTCTGTCCGTCCGTCCGTCCGTCCGTCCGTCCGATTGTCCTGCTGGGGGCGGGGGGGGCGGCAGTCCGGAAAGCAGAGCCGGAGGTTGGCAGGCGGAGCGAGTTTGAGTGCGGAGGGGGAAAAACGGGGGGTTTCTCTCTTCATCCATTATTATTAATTTTCTCCTTTTGTTTCACTTATTTTTTATCTTTTTTATCTTTTTTTTTCTCCTTTTTTTCTCCGTTTTTTCTTTCTTTTTTTTTTCTTTTTTTTTTTTTTTAAGAAAACAAACAAACGGTTCCAATCCCAGTTAAATACAGAACTTGAAAAGTGTTCCAGAAAAAAGTGCTGGCTAAATTACCTCTGAAAGAGAAACACAACATGGAGAGAGAGAGGGGAACACGATGAGAAGGGCCCTGAGGGTCCCCTGTGTCCCCCTCTGCCACCCTCACTCCCAGCTTCTCCCCCACCTACCCTGTAACAAAACCTCGTTGTCCCGTTGGCACGTCAGCAGACACTACAATGAGGTGACCGTAAAAGTGTCCTCAGGGTGTTGTTGCTCTACCATGGGTCCCAAAAACCCGCTCTTCTGGGTGGGGGCCATGACGGGGTGCCCTTGGGGTGCAAAACTGGGGTACCTGTAGTTGTCCTGCAGCTGCAACATTGAGTCTCTCGGTACGGGGGAGATGTTCAAGTCATTGATCAAGGGACAAGCGTAGGGTCCTCGGTGGTGGGCCCGGGACATCTCCAAGGGCTCCTTCTCGCCCTTGGAGGGGTGGGTGCTGCTTGGGCTGCTCAAGTGGGGGTTCAGACATGGGGGGTCCGTCCTGCCCATGAAGTCTACCAGCATGCCAGCCCCCGCCTTGCTGTCGTACGAAGGGCTGCGGGTGCTGGCGTTGGGGGAATACCAGTACGGGGGATTTTTGCAACTGGGGGAGTCATAGTGCGGTTGAGGCATGGGGAGGTCGCGGCAGGCCAGGTGTGGGGCGTGTGGCAGGGCCCCCCCCTGCATGCTGTGTTTGAGCGAGTCGCAGGCGGGCAGCTTTCGCATGCTGCCTGCCCGCAGGTCCTCCTTGAAGGCCAAGGTCGGGGAGCAGTTGGGCGAGAAGGCTTTCTGCAAACCGGCCTCGAACACAGTCTGCTGGCCGGGGGCCGCCAGCTGGTGTGGGAGGGCAGGGAAGTGCTTGCTCTCCAAATCCGGCTGCCCCAAACCGGGGGAGTCGCTCTGGAACCCCTGGACAAAGGTCCCATCCGAGGGGGTGGAGGGGTTCATGGAGTAGGGGCCGCTGTAGTCACAGGGGTCCCGCTCCCCCACCCCGAAGCCTCGGGACTGGGAGGGCAGGGGGGACATGCTGCTGTCCCCGCTGTAGTAGTCCAAGCCCAGGTCCGTGCTGTCCTGGAAGAGGGGGTTCACCGCCTGTGACTTGGTGGGGAACTTGGCTTTGCCCGTCCCCCTCTCCTTCTTGGAGGCACAAGCCCCTCGGGAGCCCCGGGGCTGCCGGGGTCCCGTGTTCCTCTTGGAGGGGTACACGGAGGAAGAAGAGGAAGAGGAGGAGAAACTCAGGTGGGAGGTGTCGAACATATCCACTTTCTTCCGTCGGCCTCGACCGGGCTTCGAGTTGCTCTGGAATAGGACGCTCTGGTTCCAGTTGTAGCCAGGGGCAGAGGATGCCTCGTTCCAGTCCATCATCAGCTTCTCCAGGCTGGAGAGGCTGGACTGGCCCTCGCTGGAGGACGCCTCGCTGTTGGCGCGCCGGTAACCAGCCGGCTGGTTGAACTGGGTGCTGTCAGAGGAGGACTCGGAGAAGGTCTCGGAGACCGTCTGCTGCTTGGCTTTCTGCGGGGTGTAGTTGGAGATGTCCAGGATGACGTTGGGTTCATTGAGGTGGCACTCGAAGCCCGGGTTGTAGAGCTGGCTGAAGGCTTCTGAGCTCCAGTCCAGCCCACCGTAGCCCTGCCGGAAGGCCCACGGCGCGGCGCTGGGGAACTGCCGGCAGTTTTCAGGCGAGGGCTGGAAGGACGCTGACCCCTTGGGCACCATGTAGCCGCCGGGCGAGACGGTGCTGGCCCGGCTGTCGCAACGCAGGGGGGTGTGCGCGGCGCTGGAGAACTGCCCCCCCTGCTCGGCACTGTTGAAGAAGGCGGCTTTTCCCAGCGGCAAACTGGGAGCAGCCGTCGGTGGCGCGTAGCCGGCACTGTGGGCGCTGCTGGGCGAGGACGGGAGGCTGCTGCCGCTGCCGTAGGCGAAGCTGCAGTCCTTGCTGTTGGGGCAGTCCTGCGCTGGCGGGTACTGCTTTCCTGGTGGGAACACGCTGGCGGGTGCCACGCTCTGCCCGGCGCCGCCGTAGCTGCCGTACGGGGAGTAGCCGGGGGTGCCGCTGGCCGCTGGGTGGGCCGTGGGTGACCGGGACACGGCCGATGGCGGGGCCAGTTTGGGGAAGGACTCGGCGCCCCGGCACTCCGCTGAGCCTTGGGTCACGCCGTAGGCGCCCGAGGCGCGGCCGGGCGGGAAGGCCGGGCGGCCCTGCATGCCGTGGAAGGCGGCTTCGGCACCGGGCGTGGCCGCCGCCACTTTGCCACCGCGTGCGGCGTAGGCGGCCATGCCCCGCTGGCCTGGCAGCGCGGCCGGGGCCGCCGTGTAGGCGGCCGCCGATTTCCGCGACTCGGAGCGAGACGCGGACAGGGCGAAGTCCAGCAGGTCGGAGGAGTCATCCGAGTCCAGCAAGGAGCGGAAGTAGCCGGTGAAGAGGCTGTGCCGCTCCGGGCCGCTCTCCGCCTGCGAGGACGGTGCGCTGCCGGCGTAGAAACCGGCGCGGCCGGAGGAGCCCGACTCCAGCCCCGCAGCGTGGAAGGGTCTCGCCTCGGCCCCTTGGTAGCCACCGCTGCGTCCGGCCTGGCCGCCGGGGTGGCCGTGGTGGGGGGCCCAGGGGCTGCCCTTCTCGCCCCCGCCCCACTCTGCGGCGGGGCCGTCCCCGAAGCTCTGCCCCGAGCCGGTTTCGGGGAACAGCGCCCCGTTCTTGCGCGCCCGTCGCTTCCGCTTGGGCTTGCCCACGGGATCGGGCTCCAGGCGGCCGCGCTTGCGGGGGTGCACGGGGTCAGCGTGCAGGGCGGCGGGGGCTTTCTTCTTCTTGCCGATGCCCTCGAAGAAGTCGCTGAAGGAGCAGCGCGCGGCGCGGGCGGCGTGGCCGCCCCCACGCCCCCCGAAGCCCCCCGCCTTGCCGCCGCGCCGCCGAAAGCCCTGGACGCGGTGCAGGAAGTGCGAGATGCTCTGCGTGTCGGGGGCCTGGTGGATGGACTCGGGCTCGCTGGGCGTCCAGCAGCGGGGCGGCGAGCAGCGCCCCGAGCACTGGCTCTGGCGGTTGAGGAAGGCCAGCTTGGCCAACACGTCCGAGTAGTCGGCTTTGCTGTCATTGGTGTCGGCGATGTAAGAGGGCTGGGGCGAGGCCAGCTTCTGCTTCCTCCTCCTCCTCTTCTTCACCTCCGGGGTGGGCTCCTTGGGCTTGGCTTGGCCCAGCAGCAGGTTTTTGGGAGGCCGTCCCCGCTTGCGCTTCAGGATAATGGGCATCTCCCCGGGGGGGAACACCACGACCACGTTGCGCCCGTTGTTCTTCATCTTGAGCAGCGGCGTGGGCTCCACGGAGCTGCTGGCTGCCAGCTCCTTCCCCTCCAGGTTCAAGTTGCTGCTGAGCGATGACACCTTGTAGGTGGTCTTGTTCCTCCTCCCCAGGGACACGGGGATCTTGGCCATCTTCACCACCATCTTCCTCACCCCCCGGCACTTGCTCTTCTTCCCCGCCGTGGGGGCTTTGGGCATCTCGTCGGGGTCCAGCGCAGTGGGAGGCGGTGGCGGTGGGGGGCTCAGCACCGGGGTGTCAGGCTCCTCGGGCCCGGGGGGCATCTCAGCGGGCAGGGTGAGGGGGGACAGGACGTGGCTCTCGGGGGTGATGTCCACCCGGCGCCCGCGCCCCGCCCTCCTCCGGCGGCACAGCATCTTTGGCTTATCTGTCCGGCGCAGGGCGTACTTGCGGTGGTCTTCGCCGCACCGCCCGGCCCCCCGGCCCCCGCAGGGGCCCCGCTTCACCATGGTGCTCAGGGGGCACCCCCCGAGCCGGGGCTGCAGCCCGTGGGGCCGCAGAGGGTCCCCGGTGCCCGGCTGTGCCTCCAGCAGCTCCGAGACAGTTCCCAGTGGCTGTGGCTCCAGCAGCGAGGGCTCAGTGGGCAGCAGCGGGGGCTCCAGCGCTCCGGGAAGTGGCTCCAGGGTCTGCAGCCCCAGAGGCTCCGCCAGTGGCTCCAGGGACTGCAGCTCCAGCGACTCGGACAGAGGCTCCAGCGACTGCAACTCCAGTGACTCAGAGAGCGGCTCCAGCGACTGCAGCCCCAACGGCTCCAGGTTTTGCAGCTCCAGTGACTCTGGCAGCGGCTCCAGGCTCTGCGAATCAAGCAGCTGGGGCTGGGACTCCAGGGACTGGGAATCCAACAGCCGGGATTGGGAGTCCAGCTCTTGGGCTGGCAGCAACTGGGGCTGCGGCTCCATCGCTTGCGACTCCAGCAGCTGCGTCCCTGGGCAAGCCAGGGAGGCCAGCTCGTTCAGGATGTCCGCCTCAGCCAGCTCCGAGTAATCGCTGGCATCGGGCTGGGAGCAGCCCGCTTCCTCCGCTGGAGCTTTGGAGACATCCCCCACACCCACGCCGTGTCCTGGGGGCTGTGGGGTGCTCCCCCCGCCTCCCTCAGCTTCTCCGTCGCGTGCTGGGGGCCGGGGATGCCGTGACGGGTCGGATTTGAGGAGCACTCCCCTCTCCTCGGGGCTGCGGATGCTGTTGGCCAGGGAGGGTGAGGAGAAGAAGCTGTACTGGAGGTCGCGGTCAGCGGGCAGGAGGCGGCTGTCCTCGTGAGCCCCGCCGCCGCCACGGAGGCTGCCACAGTCCAGGTGCACCCCGCTGTTCTTGAGGTCCTCAGAGAGGCGGTTGAGGTCCTTCATGATGTCGATGAGCTGCACCACAGGGTGGAGGTTGATGTGCCCGTTGCCGCACTTGCTCCGGAGCAAGGCGAGGATGCTGTCTACGTTGCAGCGGCCCGAGGCCAGCGTCGCGTTGGGGAAGGTTTTGGGCGCCCGATCGCGGGCAGATGCCTCCTCTGCGCTGCCCCCCAGGATCCGGGGCTCCCCGGCACAGCCCAGCAGGTCCTCGGCCGCCTTGGTGCCCCCGTGGATGCTCTGGCAGCGGTCAGCCGGGTCGCCGTGCAGCAGCGAGCCTGCCTGGTGCTCCCGGCCGAGCGCGGGGCACGAGCCCTCAGGGAAGCTGAGCACGCTGCAGGATAACGCCTTCTCGGCCGGGCAGGCGGGGGGCCGCTGCACCGGGTGGCCCGGCGGGTAGAATTTGGGCTCTCGAACGTAGTCGGGCGAGCCACGCACAACGCTGGTTGTTACCACTGGGCCCGGGGGCTTCACGCGCATCCTGACCTCCTCCTCCCCCGCGTGCCGCTTGGCCGAGCAGTTGCTGACATGGGGGTCAGGGAAGGTGACACCAGGACCTGTGGGCAGCAGAGAGGGGGACAGTGAGACTCCACAGGCGCTGCCGGCCTAAAACAGCCAGCAGAGCCTCACTCCAACCCCCTGTTCTCAGGGATGAGGTTCCCATATCCATCCCCCTGCTCCCTCTGCCCTGTCACCAGCTGGGACCCGACTGGCACCGCAAGAATGTGACGGCCCTGCTCACAGCTGGGAAAATGGGGCCTTGGGGGAACTGGTGCCCTCCCCGCACCAGGACCACTCGTGCCAGACTCCGGCACAGAGCCCCCACCCAGGTGAAGAGGGGTAGCTGCTTCCCGTGAGGGTCGGGGTTTGCCCACCCCACCCTAGGGGCAGAGTTTGGGTGTCTGCAGGGAGGGCTGGAACTTACCCTCGGCTTTGCTGCTGCTTCTGCTATTGCACTTGAGCTCTCTGCAAAGGAATGGGTGTGCGGGGTCAGCCCCACACAGGGGGGGACTCACTCAAGTGCTCACCACCCCTGTGCCAGTCCCTCCACGGGACATACCGGGGGCTGATCCTCCCGAGCTCCCACGGCCGCCCATCACCCGGGCGTCGGGGCCGCGGGGGGGTGGGCAAAGAGGGGGAGGCCGCCTCTGATCTGGGGGGCAGAGGGGACAGATTCACGCCCCCGCCCTCCCCCCGCGGGGCGGGGGTCCTGCGGCGCCGCTGCCGCTAGGTGTCCCCGGCGAGCCGCGCTCCGGACGGGGGGGTCTGGGCCCGAGGAGGTGCCCGGCACACCCCAAACCCATCCCACCCCCATTACACCCCCCATCCCACCCCCCATGCCACCCCCCATCCCAACCCCATCCCACCGCCATCCCACCCCCACATCCCACCCCAGCATCCTACACCCCCATCCCACCCCCCATCCCACCCCCCATCCCACCCCAGCATCCTACACCCCCATTACACCCCCGCATCCCACCCCACACCCCACCCCCATCCCACCCCCGCATCCCACCCCACATCCCCCCGGCTGCCCACCCGCGACACCCCGCGCACAGCTCCGCACCCCACCCGCGGTGACACCGCCCGGTGCCACCCCTCCCCTCGCCGGGACGCCCCTCTCTGGCGCCTGCCTCAGTTTCCCCTCTTGGGAAGGGGGTACAGCGATGGTTGTGTTGGGGTGGCTCGGGTGCTCACGGATGGGTGCCGGGCACCACGCGCCCCCTGCACAGGGGCTGCAGCCCCTCTGTTCACCCCAAAATCCCGAGCCGGGAGGCTGCACAGAGCCGGGCATCCCCCCTCGCCCTGTATGCCCCAGACAGGGATGGACAGAACACCGGCAGCAAGGCGTGCCGCCGTTTTTGGGGTGACCCCGGGTACCTGTTCCGGGGGTGTTTGCAGTGCAGGTTCACTCGGAAGCTCCTGCTGTCGCCGTCGCTGCCGGGCTGGCGGGGGCCGGAGCCCTGGGCACGCGGGAACCACTCGGCTGGCGGGCTGGCACCGTTCTCCAGTGCGAGGGGCTGGCAGCCGACCGAGCTCCCATCTGCTCGAGAGAGACCCCCGACATCAGCCCGGCGGCCCCCTCCCCTGGGAGTGACACTTGTCCTGGCCGCCTTGGGTGCCCACTGGGCTGGGCACATCGTGCGCCGCCCGTTGACGCCTCCCCCTCGAAGCCACAGCCCACGGGGACACCCACCTTGTGCCCTTAGCCCCATCACGGGATGCCTGGGGTGACGTTTTGGGGCAGGACAACCCTTTCCTCCCACCGTGCCCATGCCTTGAACGGGGGGCTGCCCGTTTGAGGGGAAGCATCTCCCCACCAGGCAGTAGCACACGTGTGCTCATCCACATGGATATGCACACTGCACACGCGTGTGCAGGAAGCTCTGGCCACCCACTCTCCTGCAGGAGGTCGAGGCACCCACAGGGGTGCACGGTGGAACCCCTCAGCCCCTCGCAACCCCCCCGTGCCAGCATGCCCGCCTGTTTCCCCCCCCAGCACCGCGTGTGAATCCCTGCCGGTTGGCTCCCTCCCCCAGCACACACCCGCAGACACACACACGCAGCCGCTCGGCGTGATCCAGGCTCTTCCCGGTGTCTGGATTAGCGTGACAACTTATCAACAAGGCAGGGAAAGAGAATTCAAACCTGTCAGTCCATCCGCATCCCCCCCTTTCCCCGTCTCCCCGCCAGCCTTTGGGCGCAGCGCTGGCACCGCGGAGCTGCGGGCACCTCGGTGTAAAGTTACACCAAGGGCTATGTGGAGCAGGAAAATATGTGCTAGAAAGACCGGTCTCGTCTCTGCTGAGCTGCTGGTGTGCCCAGGGAGCTGTCGGAGGGGAGGCAGGCAGGAAGGAAGCAAACGGGAGGTTTTCCAGAGCAGCCGCCGAGCTGGTCCCCGCTGCACACGCTGCGCGCGGCTCGACGGGGAGGTTCGGGGTTCGGGGGAGGTTCGGGGTTCGGGGGAGGTTCGGGGGGCACCCCCAGCTCTGCGCCGCCGTCCCCCGTGTGTCCGTGGCGCACGGCGCTGCGGCTGCTTCGGCAAACACTGCGGGGCGCCGCGGGGTCCCCGCCGGGCTGTGGGGGTCTCTGGACACGCCATCGCCCACTCTGCGTGTTCGCCTTTGCCCACCTTCATCCCCGGGGCCACGCCGGGAGCCGCAGGGCTCTTACCCCGCACCGCCGGTGTCCGCTCCCACGGGGGCCACGTGTGACACGCGGGGGACACTCCGTGCGCCGCGGCTCCGCCCTCGCCCCGTCCAGACCACCCTCCACGGCGGGGACCACCTGCACCCCCGACCATCCCCCGCGGGCGGGCAGCGCGGTGCGGAGCGCAGGTGGAGCCCGGCAGCGGCGGTGGGGAGGGGGCTGCGGGGCGGGGGGCTGCGGGGCGCACCGGGATGTTCGCCGCGCCGCCGCGCTCACTTTCACCTCCCCGCTCAGCCCCAGGCAGCCGCCACATGTTTCCCATTAGGCTCTCCGGACCTCGCCATTCCTGGCTTCCTCGCCAGGGGTAGGGCCTTTTTCCTTATTTTTTTATTTTCCCCTTTAAAAAAAAAAAAAAAATTTCTTTTAATTTTTTTTTTTTTTCTCCTCCCTGGTTACAAAACACCAGTCGAGACCACACAAGCGAGGAGGGACGGAGGGAGAAGGAGAGATAGAGATGGGCGCCGCGGGCGGGGAGAGCCGGCCAGACCGGGTGCTGCAGCGGGGCCGGGGGGGTGAGGATGAAGAGCGGGGGGATGAAGCGGGCGAGATTGCAGTCACCTCCGCTTCCCACCTCCTGACCCCGCAGCCCTGCAAAGATAACAGCCCCCGAAGACTGCTGACTCGCCTCGCAGAAATCCAATATCCTCGCCTGGTGAACTAATCGACTACCTGGGCTCCCACCTCCCCTGCCCGGGCTTAATCCTGCTGCTGCAAAGCTTTAATTAGTTTAACGGTTTCGGGCTTGACGGAGGTTGGCGGCGAGAGGAATCAGAATCATGGAATGGTTTGGGTTGGAAGGGACCTTAAAGCTCATCTCCTTCCAGCCCCCCGCCGCGGGCAGGGACACCTTCCACTAGACCAGGTCGCTCCGAGCCCCGTCCAACCCGGCAGGATGTCCCCCCACCTCGCCACTCCACCCAGACAGGGTTCCCCTTTGCTGGAAAGGGTGCCGTGGGGTGGCAGCCTGAGGGCCCCCAAACCCCCCTAAGCACCCCCGAGCTGCTGGCACCCAGCCGCGACCCATAGCGCTGGCACAGGGCGGGCACGGAGGGGCCGTCTTGGCACCGGCGGGATGGAGGGATGGCCCCGCAGGACACGGACGTGGTTTGGTGCCCGGCTCCGAGGCCACCCAGACGTCAGGGTGGGGCCGGAGATGCCACCGGGAGACAGGCAGGCGGCAGGGACACAGCCGCCACACAGATGGGGACACGCTGGCCCGACGCCTCCCGCCCCGCCGGGGCACCGTGCCCAACCGCCCGCGGCGGCAGCGCCGGGAACGGGAACGGGCCGTCCTCCCCCTGCCCCGCCGCCTCGGGGGTCCCTGGGCACCGCGGGGCGCTGCCAAGGTTTGGGGTGCCCCAAATCCCCCCACGTGGGCGTAGGGCCGTGTCCGGTTCCTGCTGTCCCCCGTGTCCTGTGGGCAGGGGTGCCCCGCTTGACCCCTCCCGCCCCGCACGAGTGGCAGGGGTTGTCCCACTCGTGTCGCACACGGGGACGCCGTGGCGGTGCCTCTCCCTCTCACACTCTGCCGGCTTTCCTTGGGTGCAACTGCCCTGCGCACCGACCCCCCACGCCCCTGGGCCATCGGGGAGCTTCTCCCCTCCGCCCCGTCCCTGGCGTGCCCCGGTCCCTCCCAGGCGCCCCCAACCCCCGCCCCACGAGTTCCCCCAGCCCGTCCTGCCTGCTGACACCAATGGAAAATCCCCTCCAGTGACAGCTTCCTGGCAGGCGCTCGCCGAGGGTTTCCGTGTTCCCCAGCCAGCCCCACCGGCCACCTCCTCCCCGAGCCGCGCGGGGGGTCCCTCCGCCTTCACCCCCTCCACGCCGACCCCCACACCCCCTCTAATTCAGCATCACAGACCCCAAAGCACGCGGGTCCCGCTCCCTCCTCCTCCTCACCACACCTCATCCCCTGCCAGCACCCTGCCCTCCTCCGGAGTGGGGCACTCCTCAGCGCCAGGGGGGTTTGGGGTCCTCTCTGGGTGCCGCTGGCAGCTCCCAGAGCACCCACCCACCCTGGGGACCCCCCACCCTGTGCCTGGGAGCAGGGCAGGAGCTGGGGGCGCAGAAGGGTGGGCACAGAGGGGTGCTGGGGCACGCAGTGCCTGCCGGCAGCCCTGACCCTCCCTTCAGTTGTCACCCCACGGCTGGAACCCCGCTGTCACATCCCCCCTGCCGTCACCACGTCCTCCCGCTGCCCTGACTCCTTTGCCATGCTCTTAATTAGGAGATGGAGCAGATGGCGCCTGGGTTTCATCTTAGGTAACGGGTCCAAGCGAGCTGCTTGGCCGCCAGTTCCCTTTGTGGGGCTGTGAGAGGTTTTTTGGGGAGCCCCCCAAGCAGGGAGCTGGTGAGGGGACCTGTCCCTCCAATGCACCGCGGGGATGCTGCGGGGACTGCAGTGCCAGGAGGGATTGGCTGGCATGTGGGGAAACATCCCTGGGTTCTGCCCGCTCACATCAGCCCAGGGTGTCACATCAGACCCGCCCTGGCACTGGGAGGAGGGCCTGGAACCACTGGGCTATAAACAAGGGGTGCCAAAGGTCTTGACATGCCCTCATAACCCAGAGCTGCAGGAAGGTGGCTGGGGGGTTCATTTCCCTGCAATCCCCCTGGTCCTGGCCACAGGGACCCCAGGGACACCCCCTGCTGCTGGGGACAGTGCTGAGTCAGGGCACATGGCCCTTCTCCTGGGCCTGGCTCTGGATGTCCCACAGCCCCTGGGGTCTCCTGGAGCCCACCCTGCCTGGCTGGTGGCATCCTCCAGGCCTGGGGGTCCTGGAGCCGGTGACACCCTTGACAGGTTCAGCCCCCAGGACCAGAACGTGGCATGGTGCCCTTGAGGCGGGCATGGCTGGAGAGGCCTGGTCAGGTTCCTACTGCTGCTGCTGCCCGAAACCATCTCCCCTGCAAGGACCATCTCCCTCAGGAGAAACCATCTCCCCTGCAAGGACCATCTCCCTCAGGAGAAACCATCTCCCCAGCAAGGACCATCTCCCTCAGGAGAAACCATCTCCCCAGCAAGGACCATCTCCCTCAGGAGAAACCATCTCCCCTGCAAGGACCATCTCCCTCAGGAGAAACCATCTCCCCTGCAAGGACCATCTCCCTCAGGAGAAACCATCTCCCCTGCAAGGACCATCTCCCTCAGGAGAAACCATCTCCCCTGCAAGGACCATCTCCCTCAGGAGAAACCATCTCCCCTGCAAGGACCATCTCCCTCAGGAGAAACCATCTCCCCTGCAAGGACCTTCTCCCTCAGGAGGAATGATCTATCCTGAAATGACCACCTTCCATGCAAGGATCATCCTCCCTGAACATCCACCTCGCCTGCAGTGGCTCTCCCCTGCAAGAACCACGTTGCCTTCAAGCACCATCTTCCCCACAAGGACCATCTCTGCTGCCACAACCATTTTCCCTGCAATGATCATCTCCCCACAAGAAATCGTCTCCCCTGCAAGGACCACCTCTCCTTAACGACACTGACTATTACCCCTCCAAGACCATTTCCCCACAACAACCGATCCCCCTCCGGCGACCATCTCGCCCAGCAATCATCCCGCCGGTCAGGAGCTCCTTCCCTGCTGCAAGGACCCTCAAAGGTGGGTACCCCGCTGCCCCCCGGATGCTGGGGTCACTCAGGTGACCCCCGTGGCATCGCCCCGCACGGATGCATCCCCCAACTCCCTCGGTGGAGGGGTCTGACCCCCTTCCCTGGCTGGGGGGGGCTCGGCAGATGGACCGCAGCGCTGGTGGCACCTCGGCCGGCTGGAGCCCAGCGCCGCGGTTCGGAGCTAGCAGGGAAACGGGCTAAATTTAGCTCTTCCCTCGGTGCCAGCTTTGTTCCCCCGCCCCGTCGAGCCGGCGCGGGAGGCGAGCAGCCCCCGGGCCCCCTCCCCTGCCCTCGGGAGGACACGGGACGCACCAGCCCGGCTCCCTCGGGGTACCGGGGGCTGCCCGGGGCGCTCGCCCGCGGTCTCGGTGCGCTGTGCCCCGGCGCGGGGAGCGCACCCCGGGGGCGCTGGCAGCACTGAGGCCGCGCAGATGGCCCCGGGCCCCTCCCGGCTCCCCGGTACAGCCCCGGTGCGTCCCTGCCCGGCTCGGTAACACCGGCGCGGAGGGGCTCCGCTGGCTGCCCGCCGCCCCCAGCCCCAGCGGGGCACCCCGGGCGGCTGCACAGCCCCACACCCCGCGGGCCCCGCTCCCCGCCGGGGCGCTGCGGGTTAACGGCGAGCGGAGCCGGGATCCTGCGAGGCCAGTAACATTTGGAAGGCGCCAGATGGACGCGTGCCCACCAAAGCTCGCTCGGCACAGCCGCGCTCCCCCGCCGCCGGGGCTGGGGGGCTGCCCGGGAGGCAGAGGGGCGCCCGCCGGGACCGGAGGATGCTGACCGTGAGCCCACCCACACCCCACGCGGGGCACCGGAGCCGCCCGGCCGCGGTCCCGTCACGCAGGATATGGGGTGACGGGGTCCAGGTGCTGACACCGCGCTGTGGGGACCAGGTGGGGACCGAGGGGGGGTCTGAGTGGGGGCAGATCAGCCAGTTGCCTCCCTTGGCCAATTTTAGAAACTGGCTAGACAAGAAAAGCAGAATGAGCCGGGCAGGATTAACGGCCGTGCTGGTGTCAGGGTGGGTTTTTTTCTTTTTTTTTCTTTTTTTTTTCTTTTTTTTTTTTTTTTTTTTTTTGTGGGAGGCACACACGAGTTGAGCGGAAACTCCTGGCTGTGGATCCTGTTTCCTGGGAGATGCGGCCGGTTGGGGCCGAGCTGGGGTGTGGGAGCCACTGGGGAAAATGCCAGCGCCGGCGTGATGGGGCAGGGCTGTGGGGAGGTGGGGGCAACCCCTGCCCCATCACGCTGGTGGCCTGGCACCCCAAAATATGCGGGTATGGAGGTGGTGCACCCACCGACAGGCCTGAATGTGCACAAGATGGTCGTGCACATGCAGGCGTGTGCACAGGTACACGCACGGGGGAGGATTTGCACACACACGTGTGCAGACAGGTGAGCCCACAGCGGTGTGGGGGCACACACAGGTACAGGAACACACGTGGGCACCAATGGGTGGGTCACACATGTGGCAAGCGTGTACAGGGGCACACACACAGGTACAGGAACACACGTGGGCACCAACGGGCGGGTCACACATGTGGCAAGCGTGTACAGGGGCACACACACAGGTACAGGAACACACGTGGGCACCAACGGGCGGGTCACACATGTGGCAAGCGTGTACAGGGGCGCACACACAGGTACAGGAACACACGTGGGGCACTGGTGAGCGCACTGATGGACGCACACCTGTGTTACAGGTACACACCTCTGTGGACACAGGTACAATGCCCTGTGGCAGCACACAGGAGCTCCAGGCACCCCCAGGAACCCCAAGCACCAGGGCAGCACTGCACACCCCCATCCCATACCCTGGTGGTGGCAATAGAAGCTGCTGGGTTTGACCCCAAAACATGATTCACCCTCCCTCTTGAGAGGCCACGGTGCTCCACCAAAATCTGGGGGTGTGAAGGAGGGGTCAGCCAGTGCCACGCAGCGGGGACATGGACAGCGACAGGGAAACTGAGGCAGGAGCAGGGTGCTGATGGAAACAGGGAGCTGCAGCCAACTATTCCAGAGGACCCGGGCGTCCTGCAGTGCCCCAGCCCCAGGCTCGGCTCCCACCCAGCTGCCCCCATCTCCGGTTACAGCGTGGCTCAGGCTCCCCAGGGCGGGGATTGGAGCACCCAGGTCTCGGCACCCACCCACGGCGCACTGGCAGCACCGGCCCAGCCCCTCGGAGCACACACACCCCCAGACACACCAATGTTTGCTCTCCCCCCTCGCCGGGGAGCCTTCCATTAAAATTGGAAGAACACAACTTGCCGGCAGAGCCCCGGCGCGGATCGTACACAGCCTGTCACTCACACATCACTTTGTAGATGCCCATAAATTGCTTCATTACCTCTTCTAATTGAGGAGAACGCAGCTGCTGTGGGGCGGTGACGGAGCGCCTTCCCTTTGAAGGATGCCTCGCTCACCAAAGACGGGTCCGGCAGAGCCGCAGAGCCCCACCAACATCCCAATAATAATAATAATAATAGCAATAATAACCATAATGACAGTATCCAAGCAAAATCCCCTGGAAAAGGGCAGTGGGACTCACTGTGGTGAGCCTGCTTGGAGGAGGGGGCTGAGGGGGCTTGGTGGCCCTATACTGGTGGGGAAACTGAGGCACAGGGAAGGATGCACCACGCACATGGAAAGGATGGGCATGGAAACCTCTGCATGACACTGGGACCCTGAAGGGGAATATGGTGGTGACAACATTTATGGAAGACCCAAACTCAGGGGATTGAGCATCTCCCTACCCACACAGATTTGGGGGGCTGGGAGAATGCACAGCACCACCCAAAACTCCCTGGAGAACTTTCCACCCTGCTCCAGGGCTTGGTTCTCCCGTCCTCGCCAGCACGACACCGGGGGTCCTGCCACCCTCTGGTGCCCTCATCCCCTGCGCCCCGTCCCCGCGGGGCCCCCCGTCTTTGTGTGGCGGCGGCGGGCGGCTGCGGCTGGGCTCGGTCCCCTTGCAGGATACTGCAGAAGGATTTACTGTATTGCAGCTTGTGCTGGCTGCAGCCCAGCGCACAATAGATTAGCTGTAGCCCAGGGCAGCACGTTGCGGGGGAAGGAAGGTGGGATCCATCCGGCTGCAGATTGCAGGGCATTTGCTGCAGTATCCTGCAGGATCCGGACACTCGCTCTGGAGAGCCGTCACCCTGCTCCAGCCTGCCACAGGGACCTCGAGGGGCTCACGCAGCCCCTCCTCATCCTCCCCACCAAATTCTACAGCAGGAACATTTCTCGTGGCCACATGGGCTGGGGGACACCCTGCTTGTTCCCTGTCCCCGTTTGGAGGTCCGGAGGGGCCGCAGTCCCCGATGGCACACCGGGGCCCCCTCGCTGGGTGCGACGGCACAAAGCTGGTGCAGGGAGGGAGCCAGGGACTGCAAGCAGCACTAATTGATCGCGATTAATTCAGCTCCTACCTCCTCGGGTGGCAGGAGAGATGCTGAGACACAAGCACAGCCCACAGAGCTCCCCAAACGGGCTCTGCTCTCCCCTGTGCCCACCCCTTCCCCCCGTGGGGGACCCACGCTGCCGGTCCCTGCGGGTGTGGGGGTCTCTGGTGGGTGTCCAGCTCCTGCTGCTGCCTCAGAGGTGCTGGGGATGGGTCCTTGGTGTGGACCCACATTCCCGGGGGGCTGTTGGAGGGTGAGGGTCCTGCAAGCACACCACCCTCCCCCCTGAGATGCAGGGATGGCACGCAGGGAGATGATACTCAGGCAAAGGCACAGGGGAGAAGATGGGCCAGGGGTCACTGATGGCCTCGTGGTGACACCGCGACATCTCCAGCAGCATCACCAGCCAGTGGGTGCAAACCAGGGCACGCAGGAGCGCTGCTGCCACCTCCTCCAGCACCCAGATGCCACCCCACTGGGGACAGCAGGCACCCTGCGGGCACCCCGCTGCGCCGCGGGCGGGGGGACCCCGGTGACCGTCTGGATTTGGAGGGGTTTGGAGCCCGCAGATTCCGGCTCCATAATCCTACGTGGGATGCAGTTTCCACAGCAACAGCGGGTCAGAGGGCAGCGAGGGGAGCCGGCTGCTCCGCTTGGGATTGCAATCCTGCCGCGGCTGCCGAGCGCCGCCGGGCGCGGGGCCGGTGTGCGGTACCGGTGTGCGGTACCAGTGTGCAGTGCCGGTGTGCGGTACCGGTGTGCAGTACCGGGGCGCGGGGCCGGTGCGCGGTACCGGTGTGCGGTACCAGTGTGCAGTGCCGGTGTGCGGTACCGGTGTGCAGTGCCGGTGTGCAGTACCGGTGTGCGGTGCCGGTGTGCGGTGCCGGTGTGTGGTACTGGTGTGCGGTACCGGTGTGCGGTGCCGGTGTGCGGTGTCGGTGTGCGGGGCCGGTGTGCGGTACTGGGGCGCAGTACCGGTGTGCGGTGCCGGTGTGCAGTACCGGTGCGCGGTACCGGTGTGCGGTGCCGGTGTGTGGGGCCGGTGTGCGGTACCGGTGTGCGGTACCGGTGTGCGGTGTCAGGGTGCGGTGTCGGTGTGCGGTACCGGTGTGCGGGGCCGGTGTGCGGGGCCGGGGCAGGGTACCAGTGTGCAGTACCGGTGTGCGGTGTCAGTGTGCGGTACCGGGGCGCAGTGCCGGTGTGCGGTACCGGTGTGCGGTGTCGGTGTGCAGTGTCAGGGTGCAGTACCGGTGTTGCGGTACCGGTGTGCGGTGTCGGTGTGCGGTACCGGTGTGCAGTACCGGGGTGCAGTGCCAGTGTGCAGTACTGGGGCGCGGTACCGGTGTGCAGTACCGGTGTGCGGTACCGGGGCACAGTGCCGGTGTGCGGTACCGGTGTGCGGTACCGGTGTGCGGTGCTGGTGTGCGGTACCGGTGTGCGGTACCGGTGTGCGGTGCCGGTGTGTGGTACCGGTGTGCGGTGCCGGTGTGCGGTACCGGTGTGCGGTGCCGGTGCGCGGGGCAGGCTGGACCACGGCGGGACCACGGTGGCGAAGGCAGGCGGCGCAGAGGGACCGCGTGGGGCGCGGGGGCGGCCGGGCTGGTGCTGCCGGGGGGGCGGCAGAGGCTCAGTGTGGCGTTGTCAGCAAAGATGTCACTAATTGTCTGCAGGAGCAGCAAACTCTCGTTAACCCTTGGGCAGCCGGCGGCGGGAGCGCTGGCGGGGCCGGGGGCACCCGGGGACCCACGGCCGAGTGTCCTGGGGCCGCCCACCTCTGCCACCGCCCCAGCGTGGCCGCCGGGACACCAGCGTGTCCAGCCGGTGACCGTGGGCAGCCCACTTGTCCCGTGGGCTCCGGCTTTGTCACCATGGCTGTGGCTGTGGCTGTGCCGCCCCTGGGGCGAGCAGGAGCACAGAGGGAAATGCTGTGCCAGGGACACTGAGCAGGGTCACCTCCATCCCCGGTCACTTCCATTCCCTGTCACCTCCTGTGCCTCCATCCCTGCACCTCTGTCCATCTCCATGCCCAGGCACACCCAGTGAGCGCAGCGCGGCGCAGAGGGGCACCCAGCACCCATGGCCACCACCCAACTCCTACCACACTCCACACCCCACCACGGCTCCATCCGCACGGGAAAAGCACACACGACCCCAGGGTGACGCTTGGGCACAGGGCATGAGCACCCACCCTGCCCCGGGAGGCTTTGGCCGGGCTGGCACAGGGGTAAGCACCGAGGCAGAGGCAGAAATGGCTTTTCCGCCTCAGCCAGCTCCAGGTAGACCTGGAAGCGCTGCCGGGAAGCGCTGACGTCGGCAGGAGCGGTGGGGGCAGCGGGGGGAGGCCGGGCCGGGGGTCAGCAGAATGCCTCCGGCTCAGCTCGCCCCTGCCAGCCGTTCCGCGGACCTTTTGTTCCCATTCTGCACCTTTCCCAGCACCTCCTGCCCCCCGGGGCTCCCAGCCGGGGCTCCAGGGCAGGGGCCCCCTCCGATACTGTGGGTTTTGGCGAGCAGGATGTGCCCAGCGTGGCTCATGGCACAGGGACTCAAATGATGAGGGGGACACGGGCACATCCAGCCCCAAGCGAGGTGACTGAAGGAGGTCGTGGGGGCTCTGTGTGGGGGATCTGAACCCAAACCTAAAAACCTGACCCCCACCTCCCTGACAGCCCTGGCAGAGTTAGGGGGAGGAGGGTAGCACGGCTCGGCATCCCCTGGAGCTCGTCCAAAGCACAGCCAGCCTGGTGAGCTCAGCGAAGGGGATGGATCCTGCACGGCGGCAGAAAATGTGTACAAAACCAGTGCTCCCACTGCAGGCAGCCACCGGGACTGGAAAAACGCAGGGCACAGCCCTCTGCCCCCCTTCCTGGTATCCCAACACCCCGGCAGCTCACAGGGACACAGAACTGGTGGCTGCAGCTCATCCTGCATGGTGACAGCACCGGGGACCCCAGGAGAGAGCCAGCTCCCCCCGTCCCCCACAGCCGCCGCTGGGGCCTGGGAGGAGCCGGGCCCGGCAGGTCTGGACTCGTCCAAGGACTCTCCCAGCCTCCAAGGACTTTCTGCTGGGATTTCCTGGGAGGGATGCAGGTTTGCAGATGTCACAGCATTCCGGGGTTTCTGCTCCATGAGCTCCTTGGACCCACACTCGCAGTGCCCAGTGTGGGGAATCCTTTTGGCAAAGCTCCCAGGGTAGCAGTGTCAGGCTGGGACAGCAGCACCCTGCCCAGTATGGCTTACTGCTCCTCCGGGGCATCCTGCAGCTGGCACTGGCTCCAAACAGCTCCTCAGTGCAGCACTGCCTGGGGCCTCCTGGTCCCTGACATTCCTTCCATCCCTTCCCGCTGGAGTGCAAACGCTCCCCTGGATGCAAATTCATCCCACTGCAGGGTGCAAACCATAGCTGGGTGAGCCCCTCTCCTGGATACAAACCCAGATACAAACCCAGCCCTGGATAAAAACCCATCCCTGGGTGACTATTCATCCCTGGATGCAAACACGTCCCTGGGTGCAAATTCATCCCACTGCAGGGTGCAAATGCACACCTGGGTGAAAATCCATCCCGGAGTGATAATTTATCCCTAGATGCAAACTCATCCATGGGCCCAAATCCGCCCTGGATGCAAATCCAGCCCCAGGGTGCTGCACCCCATTCCACTGCCTTTGCACCAGCACCCCTCCCCTTCCCCAGCTGCCCCCCAGCCCAGTGGGACCCTGTCCCCCACCACTGCCACCAGGATCCTGCTGCCAGCCGCGCCCTCCGGATCCGGCAGACAGGTCTCTCCCCCCCAGGCTCCCTGCTCGGTGTCTGGCTGAGCTAAGCGTATTTAGTGCTTTTAATTGTTCTTAATAAATCAATCCCGCCAGCCCCTTAAATCATTTTTGTGGCTTCCCTCGCAGCCGTCCCCGCGGCCGTGCCGGTGTGGAGCCTGCTGTCTGCGGCACTGCCGGGGAACACGGTGGGGATGGGGCACTTGGGACACTCCCTGCCCACCCCAGCGCCACCCCGCTGCTCCTCAGCCCCCGAGCTGCTGCAGGGGGGCTCTGCCTGCCAGGGTAGGGGCCCCATGCCTCAGTTTCCCTCCCTGCATGGGGTGTTTGGGGATGCACCAGCTGCTCGCCTTGTCCCTGCTGTGTGGGTTCAATCACCCCAGTATTGCAGGTTTTGGGGACACCGAGGGACCTCAAGTCCCGTCTCTCACTTGCTCCTGCCCTCAGGGCCAGGTGCTGTGGGAACAGAGATGGTGACAGTGGATGTCACCCACGTGGCGCTGCTGTCCCAGCCTGGTGTGTGGGGGCACCTGGGCAGACATGCTGTGTCCTCCAAGCCCCTGGTGCCACCATGGACCCCAGGGACATGCGCCATCCCCTGCCCACGCCTGCCCAGTGCTGAGCCCCTGAGGGCACAGCGTGAGGCCAATCCACCTTGTGACACCCAAGGGGCTCAGTGCAGGCCCCAGTGCAGGTGACCTGCCAGGTGAGGCTGGGATGGTGCTGACACCCACCTGGATGGCAGCACTCCTGCTCTGGGGGTCATATTACCTACCCCACAGCATCCTGAACAGCCTGCAGCAGCTCCCAGCCCTACCTCCTGCTCCATCCCACCACCCAGCAGCTCATCCTCACCCATCCCACCAGCCAAGTGCATCCCACTCCACTGCACCACTCAGCCCTGCATCCCTGTTCATCCCACCACCCAATCCCGCATCCTGCACATCCACCACACAGCTCCACATCCCATCCAGCACCATCCCACCAACCACGCCAGCCCTGCTGCCATTTTTCATGGAAAGGATGAGCACCCAGCACCCAAGTGGGATCAGCGCAGCCCCCAGCCCTCTCCAGCTTCTCAGGGCTGACAGTGACACCCAACTAGATGGCAACAGTCCTATTTTTGGGAACACATTTTGCACCCCATCCCATCACCGACACCCTGCAGCATCCCCCAGGGCACGCTACCCCGCCTCCTGCTCCATCCCACCACCCAAACCCACACCCTGAACCATCCCACCACCTAAACCCTCATCCCATCCACCACCCAAGCCCAGAACCACCATCCCACCCACGCTCCAGCCCTGATGAGCACCCAACACCCAGCACGGCTCCGGGGGACGTGTCACCGAACAGACTGTGCTGGCTTTGGGCAAAAAACAAACCCGGCAGGGCTTGGAGGGAGAGAGCTAACCTTGACACAGTTGCAGCAGTCACTAATAGCAGGCAATATGCCTGTTCTTGGGGGACTGTTGCAGTTGCTAAGATACTGGCAGCCGTGTGAATGGAAATGGGTCAGTAAACCTGTGGAGAGATAGTGTGACACTGTAACCGGCACAGCTGTTGCAGCCTACATCGAAATCCCACCCTTTCAATATTTATCACTCTCCGCCTTCGGTTCCTTCCTCCCAGCAATTTTTTCCACGTTGGTTTTGCCCGGGGTTGGTGAAATCACCCCGAAGACTTTAATGAGATGAGAGGTGGTGGAGCGACGGGATGGGGTGGAAAAAACACGGTGCAGGGGGATGAGGAGGGAAATTGAAGCCCCCATTTTGGGTGGGTGTCTGTCCCCCCCTCCCCACCCCACCCCATGAGTAGGATGGAGCCAGTTCTTGGAGAGATTTAACAGGAAACAGGCTATAATCCCCCTGGTAGGAAAACGGGTGAAAAGGTCAATTTACTTCTGTCCCTCGTTTAGGCACTGTGGTGAAATTACACACTCGCAGGAGCCACGGCTGGGAG